TCATTGTTGTTTTGGCGGGTCCGGGCTGGGGATTCGAACCCGCCACCTTAGGTGTACATGGCTGGCGCCTTAGCCGGTTGAGCTATAGGTGCCGAGCCAAGAGCTGTTCTTTACAAGAACTTTTTTTTTTCAGACAGAGTCTCACTCTATCACTCTTTATAGAGTGTTTTGGTGTCATAGCTAACAGTAATCTCAAACTCTTGGGCTCAAGCCATCTTCTTGCCTTCGCCTGCTGAGTAGCTGGGACTACAAACATCTGCCACAATGCCCAGCTATTTTTCTTAGAGACAGGATTTTGCTCTGGCTCAGGCTGGTCTTAAACTTGTGAGCTCAAATGAAACACTCACCTTGGCCTCCCAGAGTGCTAGGATTACAGGCATGAGCCACCACGCCCAGCCTCTTTGCAGGTACTTTATCATGTGTTTCTTCATTTACTGTCCATGGTAAGCTGGGCGCTTGGGCTGTGGTGCCCTAAGCAGATGAAGGGGTGGAGTGGCTTGGGCTGGGCCCCCCAGCCAAGCCACACTGACTACTACCCGACGGCTGCTCCTTTTGGTGGGAAGGGCGGTGATGCTGTTGGCAAAGATCTGGGATGTTAGAGTGTGCAGGTGTCAGGCCACTGTGACCCCAGGATCCCTGATACCAAGGGGATGGAGGAAGCTGCTTGTACAGCTGCAGGGCCAGCCTTGATGGACAACGGTGGGTGACCTCTGGGGCCCTGGCCAGGCCTCTGGTTCTCTTCTCATCCCTCCCATCTATTCTCCAGGGCTGGGGGTGGGAGGGGTCTCTGCACTCCATAAGTAATGAATCTGATCCCATGGCTGCCTGCCTAGAACCTTCAGTGGTTTTCAAGTGTCCTGAGGTGAAAGTCCAGCAAGGTTTCTAGGACTCCCCCTCTGGCCTCTAAGGTTTGACCTAATGCTATGGCTCTTGGGTACAGACTCCCCTGATTCATATCCCATCTCTACCAGTTCCAAGCTGTATGACACTGGGCAGGTTATATGTTTTCTCTGTGTCTCAGTTTCCTCATGTGTAAAGTGGGGATAAGAGCATTAACTACTTCATAGAGCTGGGAGAAATGAAATGTGTCTGCAGAGCTTGGCATAGTCCCCAGCCCATAAGGAGTCCCTGATATATG